CCGTGCAGCGGAGCGCCAGAGCCCGCTGAGCCGTCGGCTCTGTGATAGCATTTTTCAGAGTGGGAGAGCCTGTTGCCTTTCCGCCTCCCTGACTTTTCCTCCTGGGCCAGGCCCTTCCTGGCGGGTTGGTCACCCACAGGTCCGCTTAACCCTTACCTGTGGAAACCACCTCCGCTGGGGAGACGCTGAGGTCCCTCGGCGCCTGCCCTCCCTGTGCCTGCGGTCTCCACCCACCGTGCAGGGACTGCAGGGGAACAGCTGGTGGCCGCCTTCCTCCAGGGCCCTCCCGGGAGGGCCGGCGACACAGCCTGAGCCAGAGCACTGCCAGGGCGTCCCACCCCCCCACCCCGTGGGGGTCCCCGAGCCCGGGCGACTGACAGCGCCCAGGCCGCGGCCCCGTCCATGCCTGTCAGAGCGTGGTCGTCAGCCTGAGGCTGGGAGAGCGCCACAGATGTTCCAGAACTGCTGCTTGCTTGGCAGCCTGCAGTGACAGATGCATCTCGGGAAAGCTGTTTCACGGCACTTCCATCCTGCCAGGGGGCCTCATCCTGAGTCGGCTGCGTTGGTGCCGCGGTGCCCCCTGGGAATGAAGTGAAGCTTTGTTGAAGGGAACCTCAGGTGATTGCCCTCACCCTGGCACTTGGCCCACTGCCTGGCCCATAGCAAATGCCCAGTCAGGTATTTGTGTGATAAATAAATGATTTAATTCGCCAATAATTAAAGGAACAGAGAGGTGTGGGGTAAGAAAGGCAAAGAACTGGATCTCAGGTTTATTTCAGGTCAGTTCCAGACCAGCCCCTTCATGACTTCCTCCTTTTTGCCTCTCGACTGAAGCCGAACTGGAGCAGACTTTGGGCCTGGGGCACAGAGCCCGCAGCAGAGGTAGCTATGAAACCTCACGCTGGACTGGAGTAGAAGTGGGGGGCGATGAGTGTGGGGGTGTTTGCTGTTGGGCAGCGCTGGGAACGTGGGGAGAGCCTCCACAGGTTCTGAAGTCTGCCTGGGGCTTAGTAGGTGGCAGTGGGGAGGGTTGTATCTGGCTGGGCCCAGGCCCTAATGCAGAGGGCCAGCAGGGGATCCCCCAGTGCGGGGCCACCGTTGAGGCTTCCCCTTCCAGTAGGCGCCCTCCAGAGGTGAGATTTCATGGGGCTACAACGGCTGGACAATGGAGAATGCAGCTTGGAAAGCGTCGTTCTGCTCCCCGGGCTGCCTCCTACTCCTAAAATGCAGGATTGCATCACCCAGCAGAAAACTGCCATCTGGAGCATTCTTCCTGCCGCCTCCCGGCAGTGGGGAGAGGCCACCCTTTGCCCTCTGCTCAGAATGCTTTCTCTGTGCCTCCTGTACCCAGAGCTGGGAGAGCCACTCTCAGATTTGGCAGAACCAGCCGCAGGGAGGGGTCGCCCTCGCTGCAGCTCAGTGGGAGACTGGGCCTTGAAACATGCTTGAGGGGCTGGTTCCAGGAAGGGTTGAGGAAGCATTGTTGGCTGTAAATAAACCTCTGTTCTCTCAACCAAGCCCGGTGCTTCTGCGGAGTAACCCCCCCACTCACATGGTGTGGCGGCTCAGCCGCTCCCAGGGCCATATTGTCTGGCTTCCTTCCTCCACCCAGCCTCTTGGGGCATTCTGCAGGGCGCCCACCCGCCAGGTTCTGTGCAGGCCCAGCCTGGTGCCCTGCGTGCCCTGCTCGGTGGGCCTTGGGACCAGCTGAGGCCCGGGGAGGCGGGGGGCTACGGTGGGAAGAGTGGGCCTTGCCAGAGCCCCGTTTCTCTGCTCGGCTCAGCACTCGCCTCCCTTTCCCATCTTCTCACTCAGCTTTTATAAGAAGCGGGTCTGGTTTTGTTTTCCCTGGTGTCTCTATTAGTCAGAACTGCGGGGCAAGAGCGATGTGACTGTTCTGCTCTTATCCGGTGGCTCTTCCTCTCCCCGGGCTAAAGGCTTTTTCTCATCTTCCTGGTCAGCAGGGTGAAACCCCTTTGCCTGCTTGTGTCCAAGGGGCATGTGCTCACAGCCGGGCCTCAGGGAGGCCCGTGCCCTGCTGACGCTGATGCAGACAGACGTCTGCTGCCTGGCTCCCTCCCTTCGTCGCTCTGACCCGCTGAAACCGTCCACCTGGAGGCTGCCGCTCCGTGCGAGTCAGGACAGGTGTCCCCGCGGTGCTTCGCATGCCAAAGCAGGCCTCGGAGGAGAAAGGAGCAGCAGTGCTTGTTGCTTTTTACTTGTGAAAAAGGAAGAACCAGCCAAAAAAGGGCAAAACGAAAAGTCACTAACTGCCAGCCCCCACCTCACCTCCACCTTGTGAAAGACGGCGAGACTGCCGCCCTGCAGCAGGTTTTGTACGACTGGTTTCTTGAGCTGCTGGCAGTTTCGTCATATGTCTCTTCTGTCGCCTCTTTGATCACTTTCCCCGGCTTGCTGGTGCCTCCAAGAAACCCATCGGGTGCTGCTTCGTTTTCCTACTGGTCCTGGTGCCCGCAGCCTGGCTGGGGGCCTCTCTGGGGCTTTGTTTTCAGCCCCTTCTGGCCTCCTGAGGCCTCTCATTTGATGAAACTTAGCTCAGGGTACAGTTGGCAGAGGAGGCTCTAAGAAGCACCTTTGGGGTGAGGGGCGTCACCCATCTCCTGGCCGGCTGAGCTTTCTTTTGCACCTCTAGATCCTCGCCCGAGTCCACTCCCCAAGCCCTTCCCCCATGCGTGGGTTGGGCTGGGGGGTTAAGCTGCTTCAGGGCCGAGAACCGGAGCTGTGCCTCTGCTCGGCAGCTTCGTACCAGGGTTCTGCGGGCTCAGCCGCCTGCCACTGCCAGAGGGCAGAGGATTTGTCCAGACCTAACCAGATGTGGCCACCGGGAGGCAGTTTCTCATTGCTTGATTCTCTGGGGCCTTACAAGCCCCAGCAGTGCCTGGGGCGCACGTGGGAACTCTGAAGAGACTCCCAAGTCTTCCCAGGAGACTTCAGGCAAAATTACGTGGTGTGATCTGTGGCGGCCAGCGGTGTTACTCCGGGCAGAAGAGTCTCCCAGGCTGGGGCTGCGCCCAGTCTGTTGCCAGCACTTTGTGGAGGGACCGTGGAGGTAGCGTCCAGCTGGGAAGTCGGAGGCGGTGTTTCTGGGAGTGTCAGGTTGGGGTCAGGTGGCTCTGTGGGGCTCAGGGTACCCTTGGGCTGTGCATGCACGGCCCTGTGCGAGTCGAGCCAGTATGCAAGTTGATGGCTGCCTGCTTTGCTTAATTTTCTTCCCAGCGTGTGTGAAGACTAACTTAAGGAGAATGAGGAGCCAAGCTAAAAAAAAAAAAAAAGGAAATCCTAAAAGCACGGGGGCTTCCTGCCCGTGACTGCGCGCCATCATGTCTCCTCCCCAAGACGTGACCAAACAGCCTCCTCCAAGCCCCGAGGACCTTGTGAAATCTGGGAATCCCCCGGGGGCTGCTGCCTGCCAGGAGCCCCGGAGTAGACACTGAAGACAGGGCACGTCTGATGACTAACTTCCTGCTCCGGCCTAGGCGCAGAGGGCTCTGGGTGTACAGCCTTCGCCCGCCCCTGCAGCTCAGGCCTTGAGCCTCCAGAGGGGCAGGCGATGCGGTCTTGGGGGAAGATCCGCTGGGGCAGGGTGTGCCCGAGGGCACGGTCCCACAGTGAGTGCCCAGAAAGCTGTCCCCTAGAGGGAGGGTCGGAGGCCTTCTGCGGCCCTGCGTTCTGTTGCTGCCGCGGTCACGTCCTGGCTACAGAGGCCTTGTTGAGGGCGCCTGGAGACTGGCACTCTACCGCTGATTGATGGCCAGCCTGACCTTGGCAGGCATCCCCCCAGCACACCCTGACCCTCTGGAGTAGCCCCGCCGGCCTCCGTGCCGCCTGCTGGCCGGGGGGCAGGGGCCGCTGGGAGAGTTGGGAAGCGCCCTGGCGTCAGGGAGGGCTTGGGGAGTGGCGCTAAGCATGGCCACCCTGCTGTCAGCGTGGCCACGGTGTGGGAGGGCTGGCGGCGTCCCTGAGACGTCCTGGTGTGACTTGTGCAACTGGTGTCCACGGCTGTTCCCACAGGCGCCTCTGCCACTGAATTGCCACAGTCTCGCCTCCCTCAGCGGCCACAGGCTCAGGAGTAACGTGCAGCAGCTCCCCGGGAGCACAGCTTCTGCCTCGAGCGTGTGGCGTTTGAGCCCCTGACCTTACTGTGTTTGAGGGGTTGGGTCCCCCAGAAACGGAAGTGGGCACGCTCTAGCCATCCTACATTTGGGACAACGGTAGTGGGGACATCCTGCCCCCCCCCCACCGCCCCGCACCTGGCTTGGAGGGCGCCTCCTGCTGGTTGGGGTTGGTGAGGCTTTTCCTCCAGCAGTGAACCGCAGCGCAGCTGGAGACCGGATCAGCCGGCCTTGGCGCCGCAGTCCCAGGAGGCGGGAGCCGAAGGGCGGGGAGGTGGCGGCCCTGGGCAGGAGCAGAAAAGGCTTCTCTTGGGAGAGAGGAGAAGTCAAGTGTTAAGAGACTGAGAGGGGAGCCAGAGAAGGGCCGCTTCTGTGCTGGGACCTTGTGGTGCCCGGTTCCCTCACGGGTTACAGACCTGCTCCTGGGTCCCCTAAGCCGCCCCGCTTTGCCTGAGTGTGTCCCCTTGTGCTCAAATGAAAAGTAAGAGAGATCTGGGAGCAGCCAGTCTTGGGTTGACTCTGGGTACCAGGTGGGGTGGGGGTGGGGTGGCTGGCCAGGCCCTGTGGGGGGTACAGCTGATGGCTGATGTTCATGTTCCTCCACGCTGGCCAGCGTTGGTCACTGCTGAAGGCCATGGAGAGATCGAACCGGGGTCTGGAGCATCCCGGCTGCTCTGATGCGGAAGGAGGGGGATTCGAACTAGGAGGTTCAGGGGTCTCAGAAAACCCTCAAGGCATCTGCTCACTGTTGGGTTCCTGCAGCGCCTCATCTTCCTTCCCCTGAGGTCCCACGTGGTCGCGGTGACAAGAGGAGCTATGGGTCAGGGCCCCGACTTACCTTCTTGTATTTCTGTTTCTGTCTTGCAGGATAACACAGAAGTAGAAAAGCGAGACCCCCAAGAATTAGTTGGTACGTACCCCAGGGGTGCTTGGGCCTGTTTCCGGGACTTGTCCAGAACCACCCCAGTAGCCACTATATGAGGCGTCTCTGCTTCAGCCGCGGCTGCTGTTTCACTGGAAGCCGTTTCTCGTGTTCCCGGTCAGGGCCTCCCCGAGGAGTCTGGGCCAGGTGCCCTGGGAGCCCGTCCTGCTGAGGCGCCTGAGACGCCCTCCCCGCCTGTCTGCACAGCAGGGGCCCATGTGCCCCCATGCCTTGGGCGGGTGGCCTGCGGGCCCTGGCGGTGCTGGCAGCGGCTTGGGGCTCGCGGACTTCAGCCCTGGGCCACCGCGCCCGAACGTGGCCTGCACGCGCTGCTTCCTGCAGCCACTCCGCCGGGCCTTTCTCTGGCCAGGCTCCTCTCACTGGGCTTGGGGGTGGCTCCCACTCTTCCTGCACTAGAGGACCCAGGAAAGGACTGCTGTTGTCTTCCGAGGAAGGGTTGGGGCGGACACTCCCAGAGCAGGCCCCCACGGGCCCTGCCTTGTTCCTGCTGTCTCTGATGTATGGAATGAGCCATCGCAGTCCTGCTACAAAAGCCAGCGCTGCTAAAACCTTCTCGCTGGCCCTTTCACAGCCAGCACTTGAGGGCCATACCAGTGGGCTTTGCGGCCAGGGAGGCAGAGCCGCACTGGCTGGAGCCTCTGCTTCAGCTGGGAAACGCCCACGTCTCCCCACGCGACTTGTACTTTTTCCTTCCACTTGTTGAAAACAGCTTTGCCGAGGTGTGATTTACATAGACTGGTCCATCCGCAGTGTCATGCTGAGGCTGACAGACTCGTGCAGCCGTGCTCACCCATCATGACGTCAGTGGCCGAGCCCTTAGCCGGGGGGCCCGGAATCTCACCTTCAGCCCGCCGTCTAATCAGGGTCTCCCGCCTGGCGCGGACCTGCGGGATGCATAGTCCTCTGGTGCGGGACCCACCCTTGGCGTGGCGGGGGGTTGTTGCAGCATCCCTGGTCTCTCCCCGGGGGGGACGAGCGCCGCTCCCCGCCCCACGTGTGACCCCAGGCTTTGCTGAGGGCAGGGCAGGCCAGCACCGCCCGCAGTTGGTCCCCACGGCACAGCTGGAGGGAGACGCTTGTCCGGCCTGTCTTCTGCGCTTTGCACACTGGTTTCGAGGGCCAGCCCCATCGGTCCAGGTGTGTCCGCGCTGCTGGCTGTGCTGCCCCAGGGGGAGCTGTGTCTCTGGTTCAGCTCCGGAGCCACACCTGCTGCCTGGCCGCGGTGCACGGCCCCGCTGCCCACACAGGCTCCTTCCCTTTAAGACCGGAGTTGCCCCAAGTCGGCAGCATTTTCACGCATGTAGAAAGTGCCAAGCTGCGTGGAGCAGATGACCGGTCCTGGTCTCCAGCACTGCGGACGCTTGGTCGAGCCTTCCAGGACCTGCCTATGGCTCGGGGACAGTGAGCCACTGGGTCCTCCCCGTCTCCGATGCACTCAAGACACCCCACGCCTCTTGCTTGCAGCCCACAGTACCCCTGGGGCTTCCCTCTCCCACACCCCTGCCTGCCGACAAGCAGATGCAGATTTCTGCCTGACACTACGCAGACCCGCTGTTCTCTGACCTGGGCATGTAGGCCTGAGCCTCACAGGCCTCAGATCCAGAGGGCCGCCACCCTCCATGGCTCCCCGGGGCAGCCGCAGACACTGGCAGCCCCCAGGTACCCACGGTCACATTTCTTAGTGCGTTTGCTGAGAAGGGGCAGGAGGCCCGCTGTGGGGCTTACATGCCCCGTGGGTACGTGGTGGGGGCGGCTTTCTCCATGTCATGCTCCGGCTCCCTCTGCTCTGGGGGGGAGAGAGCCCCTGACAGGCCACTCCTCACATCCGTGGGGCAGGCCTTACCTGGCTTCCTGCATGTGTCCCTGTTGCCCCTGGTGGCGGCCTGGGAACACATGTTGCCCTGAAGCCGGATATTGAGAGACCTGTGACGAGGCTTGATCATGAATTAAGCACAGTAAGACCAGCAGCATAGCCAGTGATGAGCACTAGACAGATAAGATCAGCCGTGCCAGAGCCCTGGGCTGAGGCCCCCTGGCGTTCCCTGCCCCTGGTGGTTAAAGGGAGGAGACAGCAGCTGCCAGTAATGCCCTAGGAATTTTCTTGCTCCTGGCCCGGGAGTGGGGGGGGGGGGCTGCTCCCCATACTGTATACCATTGTAGTCAGAGTGTGGTTGGGTTGCTATGGCAACACCGCCACACCCTGTTTTTCCTTTTTTCCAAAGGCTTCCTGGCAAATGCCAAAGGGCGTTCTTTGTCTGTCACATGCATGCGCACACTGCACCCCAGGGGAGAGGCCCCCCTGCCTGTGTGCCTGAGCCTGCCCAGGCACTCCCCACATGCCCGGAGGACCAGCTCACCCCAGTGAATTCCACCCTCCACTGATCTCTGCCTTCTGCTTGAGCCCGAGGCCTCTCCCAGGGCTCGCATAGGGCAGGACTTGAACTCCAGCCAGACCTGGGTGTCACCCTGGCTTCAGGGCTCGAAAAGAGGGTCCTGAGCAAAGGGAAGTGCGTAGCCCCCTGTGGAAACTGCTTCTGGGATGCATGGGTGTCTGGCCTCCGCCACTGGACTGTCACCCAGTCTGCGTTCTCGAGGCGCGGCAGAGCGAGTCGGGGGCGCAGGTGGCTGGTCTGAGCCCCTGCCCTGGGCCGGCCCGGCAGAGCCGCAGCCTCAGCTGCTCAGCACCGAGTTCTTCACAGGAACAGCTCGACTAAGCAGGGTTCAGAGTGCCCTCTGCGAGGAAACGTGAGCCCAGCCAGGGCAGCTGTGCGGGCCAGCCCACTCGGCCACTAGGGTGAGCGCAGCTCCAGCCCGGACTTGGCACGCCGTGGTGCCCGTAGGTGCTTGCCGGTGTGGGCACGGCGCTTCCTTCTCCCCTCCCCTGCCCCGCCCTGTGCCTTCGCTCTTTGCTCGCTCTGTGCTCCTTTTCATGAGGGAATGTTTTCAAGAACACGGACAGCTCTTCCAACAAGCAGCGCATTGTCTGAGGGCAGCGCCCGCTCTGCAGTCGCCAGGGCGGTCGGAGGCTGCAGGCGGGGAGCGGGGAGCGGGAGGCAGCCTGATGGGCAGCGCCAGAGATGGTGGCTCTTCCCGTCAGAGCTGGGCCTCTTGTCCCGAGGACGAGTCACGGCCGCGAGCCAGTGACCAGCAGGCTTCCGCGTGGGTGCACGGGACAGTTGGGAATGCTGTGGCGCCAGAGCTCGGGGCCTTAAACTGTAGCCTAGTAGAGGAGGGTGGCGGCCTGCGGCCTGGGTGCCCGGACGCGGCGGCCTTCAGGGCTTCTCGCTGGGACGCTGAGCCGGCCACACTGCTCTTCAGCTCCGGCTGCAAGACGTCCCGCCTGCACCTGCTCCCCCAGCCCCTGCCCCGCCCCTCCCAGTGACATGGCAGCAGGCCCCGTCGCCTGAACCCTGACCTGTTGGCCCGCAGGCTCCTCAGTCACTTGGTCTCAGTTCAGGGACACCCCGGTGTGCTGCTTCCACACGCTCATCCCGCCCCAGAAGCGTTCTGGAGAGCTCTGGTTTTGTCCACGTCCATTTGAAACCCCACATCGCGCACCTACCTACACAACTTCTGTTCTCCCAACAGCTTCCTTTTCTGAAAGAGTACGGAACATGTCACCTGACGAGATTAAGATCCCCCCAGAGCCCCCTGGCAGATGCTCAAATCACCTGCAGGTAAGCACAGAGCTGGCTCGCCGAGGCCTGTGTAGCTGAGGCGGGTCCAGGGCCTGGTTTGATCTGACTCTCAGAAGTGTCTGTGAAAGAACAGCCCAGGCGGGCGGGAATCCCGCCCGCCTTCCTTCCCGTAGCCTGCTCTCAGGAGATCACTCAGACCCTGCTCCTGCCACAGCTGCTCTAGCAAGCCCCCAGCTTCCCTCACCTAGGCCCTGAGCCCGGGGAGAGCAGTCACCTCTCCTGCACCCAGGTGAGCCAGTAGAAATGGCTCAGAAGGAACTTCCCACGAGACTGAGTGGCCATCAGAATGTTAAATAAGCAAATTCTAGAAACACGAGACCAGCAGCACCTCAGTGCATGAAACCCTCGCCCTCTCCCTGCAGTGCCACTCGCCTGGCTTCCTGACTCACAGATCTCATGCAGACCCGCCTGAGGTGTTTGAAAGCCCCAGGAGATGGAGCCTTCAGCACAGTTACTCCCTGGGGAACAGGACCTGGGGGTGGGGGTAGGCGTGTGCCCTTCCCGTTCAGCCGCTGGGACTGTCTCTGTCCCTTGTGGGATCCCCGTGAGGGGGCCTCATGCCAGACTGTGAGGCAGCAAGGCGGCCCAGTGCTCCCCGCCCACCTGCACTACCCTGTATCCCACAGCTTCTGCACCTCTGGCTCCACCCCCACCCCCAGCACCTCCCCAGCGGATAGATGACTCATGGGCCAGGCCTGGAGCCTGGGCAGGAGCCAGCGGGAGTCTCTTCCCTTCCCAGAAGTCCTCTCTCTGCTGAGTGGCTGCCGCTCTGCCCATCACCGCCATGCCAGCAGACAGCCAGCCGGCTCAGCCTTCAGTTGCAGAATATCTGTCCCTTTCAGCTCCTCCCTGTGGTGAGAGCCTGGCGCTACACAAGCTTGCGTCTCACCTGAGATGGCAGAACTGGTGTGCGGGCACTGGAGCCAGAGCCCACCAGATACAGGGCCACCTTGGCCACCGACCCTCCTGGAGGCCCCTGTGCCCTGGAGGAGGCCGCCTCGGGAAAGAGGGTGTCACGCTTGGCTTTTCTCCTCCCTGGTGCTGCATGGCCAACCTCTGCCATTCCCTGCTCCCTTTAGCCAGTCTCTCCAGAAGGGTGCAGGGGGACCCCTCTCCCCGTGTTCCTGAAGGGCGCCACTCGGACCCTCAGCCTTGCCCACTTCCTCTTGCAGATGAAGAGTGACCCTGAATGTTCTCTTCTGGAGAGTCTGTATTTAGTGGCCATTAGTGGGGGAGGCTGCAGAGAGGCCCAGGCCGGTGCCAGCCTCTGGTAAGACTGCTGCTCCTCAGAGGTGGCGCTGGCCCAAGACTGCTTCTGTGACCTTATCACACGCGGGCATCGCCACTGCCGTGGTCTCTGGGCACCTAGGAGCACCTGTGGCACTGGCCTGTGTCCCTGCCAATTGGTCCTGCTTCCCAGTAAAAACCCAAAAGGGGGCATGGGCAGGGAGGGGCTGAAGAGACATAACTCTGACCCCCGGCAACTATAAGTAACTCTTGGGTCTCCCCGCGAGGGACACGAAGTGTGTGAGACCAAATCCGAAACTGCCTCCCAGAGTTGCCCCAGGTCTGCCACCAAGGACTTGGTCCCAGTTCAAATTGAAAATCGCTCCGGTGCCTGAGACTCCTCAGAGAGTCAAGGGCTGGGAGCCTCCCGGAGGTTCACACGGCGTCTTCTCCATGGCTTCTCTGCCTGGACCTGTTACTTCTCATCCTAGTAGCCACACAGAGGAAAAGCAAAACAGAGATAGACTGTTCTCGAACACCACTTGGCCCATGCTCAGCTGGTGGGGGCTGGGTGCAGGAAGAGACGATGACCCGAGCAGGCTGTGCAGCGCCCTGTGCCTCTCCTGCGTGCCAGCCCACCCCGCCTGGGCCGCAGCCTGCAGTTGTGGCAGCCGGGCTCTGTCATAGCGCCTCCGGTCCTCTCCATAGGACAAGATCCAGAAGCTTTACGAGCGAAAGATGAAGGAGGGAATGGACATGAACTACATCATCCAAAGGAAGAAAGAGTTCCGGAACCCCAGGTGAGCCTTGGGGCTGCACGGCACGGGAGCCCTTGGTCCTGGACGGGCTGCACGGCACGGGAGCCCTTGGTCCTGGACTGGGCCGATGCCCCCTTGGAGGCCTGGACCCCGCCTGAGCCCCAGCGGTGACTCCCCCACAGGCCTGGCTTTTCCAGTTCACACTAAACAGGGAGAGGGCAGAGTGGGAGCAGCACTCTGCTCTGGGGCCTGGTCAGGGACGGGCTTGGGCTGGACGGTCCCACAGGTGCTCCTGCCCTGGCCTTGCCTGGGCCCCGGGGTGGTGGCCGACCCAGATACCCAGATGGGACAGACGCGTGCAGTGCTGGCCATGCTCAGGCCCTCAGGAGTCCGGCTAGAACAGTTCGACTGGGCTAAAATTTCGTCCCAGCCTAGGAACCCGCTGGCTCCGGCCTGGAATCTGGTCGCGTGGGGCCGTGGCGTCAGGGCCTGCCCAGTGCCTCCTGGTTTTCTCCCTCCAGTATCTATGAGAAGCTGATCCAGTTCTGTGCCATCGATGAGCTCGGCACCAACTACCCCAAGGTGTGTCCCGCACACAGAGGCTATGGGGCGGGGAGCTCCTGGGTGGGAGGGTCACTGCGGGCGGAAGAGCAGTCCCATCTCTTGTTTGACCACTTTTGCTCAACAATGATCCCATAAAATGGCTCGGGCCCTGGGTGGCCAGAGTGTGGACTGCCTTCGTGCCTGTACTAGTGCCGGGGCGCTGCTGGACAAATGCCTTGCTGCTCCAGACCCTCAGGCGTGGGCCGCCCCCGGCTGAGGCCAGCGGTGAAGGCCGAGCCCTCGGGCCGGGGAGGTCGTGGAGTGGGGACTTGGGCCCCTCAGCTCTTGGTGTTCCCTGGCCCCTCCTGATGGCGACTTGAACTCTGTCTTTTCAGGACATGTTTGACCCCCACGGCTGGTCTGAGGACTCCTACTACGAAGCACTGGGTGGGTAGCCGTCTGCGCAGCGCCCATCGTCCATCTCTGGCCGCAGTCGTCCTGGCGGCGTGTTTCTCGGTGTCCTGATGGTCCATAGTCTGGAACGGGACAGACCCACCTTGACTTACAGGGCTGAGAGGCCTGCCGAGGGGACAGAATGAGGTGACCCCGGCGGTGATGAGTGTTAGTGGAGGCTGGTGGGAGCCAGGCAGGACCCCCAGCTCGGCCCGGCGGGTAGGACAGTCACGCTTGTCCGAGGTGTGATGGTGCAGGGGGCTGGCCAGGCGATGTGGGGTGTCCCCGCCCAGACACTGCATGTTCCAGACTGGTGACAATACAACCTGAGGCACCCCAAGATTCTAAGGAGTTGCAGCCGGAGGAGCAGATCTGGCTTTTGGGGTGCTTGTTTGCCCCCCACATGTCTTGCTGGTATTTGAGTGTTAGTTATCAACATTTTCCTTAATGTTCACAGTATAGCTTCTCCTTGTCAGTGGGGAGGTGGAAGGAATCTCTCCGCCTGCACTGCCCCAGGGCAAAGTTCCGCTGAGCTCCCAGATGGGGTGCACGATCCCCAGCTTTGGGCCTTCGAGCTGGAGACCCCGACTGCCACCAGCCATTCTGGCCTTAGTTTCACCCATCGTGAGGGGACGGCGAGCGAATTGCTGTGAACGGAGGGCGGGGTGCGGGCCCAGGGCTGCCTTGGTGACCGCTCCCCTGCCTTCTAGCCAAAGCCCAGAAGATTGAAATGGACAAATTGGAAAAAGCCAAAAAGGAGCGAACCAAAGTAAGTCCCGGGGCACGTGGGGCCCGCAGGCCGAGCTCTGAGGCCAGGCCGCCCCCCCAGCGCTGCCCTCCGCCCACCTGGCCGCGGCCGCAGAGCCCCGCCGGCCTGCCCCCTCCGGTCCCCGTGTCGCTGCAGGGGCACAGCAGGCCTCAGCCCTGCGAGTTCCGGAACCCCAGGTGAGCCCGAGCAACGGCCCTTGTCTGAGGAGCCCAGCGGCCCTCCCCGGACGCCGTCCTTCTGGTGCCCGCTGGCCCCGGCCTCCCGGGCCGCACAGCTCCTCCCCCTGGCCTTGGCAGAGGGGCTTGGGGGCTTGGGACCGATTTGCCCGCGTTTCCCAGGTGCGACGAAATTCCTGCTCTTGCCCTCCCCATTCCAGACCCCATGTTGATTGTGGGGATCTCTGGCATCTGGGGAGCAGCGTGCCCCTTGCCCTGCGTGGGCGGGCACTGCCTCCTGCAGGGCGAGAGGTGGGGGGCCCTGGGCACGTGAGGCGTGGGGCAGTGCCCAGGGTGGACAGCAGGTGGTGGCGCTGGCAGGGAGCGGCGCCCGCCCGGGGGAGCCCCCGCCATCCCGGCAGAGCTGCTGCTTGGCGTTTCCTGCGCAGTGACGCCGCGCCGGCCACAGGGGGCAGCTGCTGCCAGGCCTGAGTGCCCCCGCCTGCCTTTCAGATCGAGTTCGTGACGGGCACCAAAAAGGGCACCACAACCAGCGCCACGGCCGCCGCCACCACAGCCAGCACCGCCGCGGCAGGTCGGTGACGCGCGCCGGGGCCGGGCGCGGGAGGGGCGACGCCACGGGCATCTGGGCCCGCACCCAGGCGTCCGTGCTTCTCTGAGCCTGCTTTGGGTGGGGGTGGGAGCCCTTGGCCGCCGGCCGCCGAGGACAGGCAGGGCCGGTGCCCATGCCGTCTGGGTTCTGACCTCTCCTGCCAACTCCCCAGATGCCCAGAAGAGAAAGAGCAAGTGGGACTCGGCCATCCCGGTGACCACGATCGCCCAGCCCACCATCCTCACCACCACGGCCACGCTGCCGGCCGTCGTCACGGTGACCACCAGCGCCAGCGGCTCCAAGACCACTGTCATCTCTGCTGTGGGCACCATCGTGAAGAAGGCCAAGCAGTGACGGAGTGTGGCTCCGTGCTCGGACGCTTTCCCCGAGGGAGGGCGCGCTCCAGGCGTGAGACTGGGCCCCGTGCCGACGCCCGCCGGAGCGGCCACTTTGTCTATGCCAGGACTGGGGCCTGCTCCCCAGATGCCCCCCGACGGGAGCCTGCCGAGGTCCAGCCAGGAGGCCGCCCGCCGTGCAGCGGGGCTTCGGGCCGGCTCGCGCTATTAAAGGTGGCGTGTGTGGCGCCGCGGCTGCCTGGCCTCCTGGCCTGCTGCCGGCCGTTTCCATGCACACGCCAAGAGCTCCGCACCCTCCCCCGGTGGGGTTAGGCCTCGGGCTGACGGCAAGGCGGCGAGTCTGTGCCACCGCTCCGGTGGCGGCCCAGGAAGGCCCACTCACTCCCAGCGGGTGGGAGTCCAGAGCGTGAGGACCAGCATTCCTGCACCCAGGCCCTGGGGGCCACAGCACCTCGACCACATTCAGGCACGTCAAGTCAGTTACCAGACGGGCTGAGGCTGGTCCCTGACCTGTGCAGGGCGGGTGTGCAGGTGGGCGCCTGGCCAAGGCCACCCGGGCCCGCAGTGCCCAGCTCGTTCAGCGCTGCAGGGAGATGAGTCACCTCCTGCCCTGGCCGGGCGGCCGCCCGTTGTTTGTGTAAACTCGGCTCCGGGGAGGGCCCTGGCTCCCCGCCCTTCCTGCGCTCTTATCTCTGCCCCACAGCAGCCCCTGGCTGGGCAGTGCCTACACCCCTCTTGGGGCCGAAACAGACTTCCCAGCCAGCACACAGCCAGGGGACCGCTGCTTCCTCGCCCTGCGGAAGGGCCACGTGTCGGGGCAGGAAGCTGGGCTGTGAAGAGCTCACCGCATCCAGGGACGGCTGGGAGTTTGGAGAGTTGAGAGTCTGAAACTGCACCTGACACTGACTGACAGGCAGCCAGGCAAGCTGGTCACCCAGAGGGGCGCAGCCGCCCCTCAGTCCTGAGGGGGCTTTACCCTGAGCTGGAGCAGGGGCCCCATCTGAATGCCAGGGAGTCACAGGGCCTTGGGGCGCGGTGGGACCAGGAACAAGCGTGAGGCAGCACCCTGCCCCACCCCTGAGGAAGCCAGCTGGCCGCGCGGTCTCCTGCCCGCCCTCAGTTTCCCTCCAATAAAGCTGTTCGAGCTGGCTGGCACGCCCCAAGCCCTAGGCAGGAGCCCTGCGCTGTTTGTGCCGCTCCCCCGGCGCCCAGATGGGGCTTTCCCTACAGCCCTTTGGTCCTCGGGGTGCGCCCAGCCTTGCCACAAGCTGTTGGACCATCCCCTCTCCCTGGCAGCAAGGGTCCTGGGGGATGAGCACAGGCAGGCAGCCCCCCGGCTATGCCAGCCAGCAGCAAGCGGCACAGGTCACTGACCAGTGTGGGGAGCCTGGGTGTAGTGGTTTCTGGGGGGCTCCTCCCTGCAGGCAGCTGGGGCTGCAGCCTGCCCCATCCCTCTTCCTGCACTTCCGGTCCCCACGGCGTGCACCTGGAGCCGTGCTCCCCCACCTGATGGGTCGTTTCAGTGCCCCTTTGCCGTGACCACTGCTACTTGGTGTGCTCACCCCCGTGCCGCAAGTCTCTGGGTTCCTCTGCACCTGCTGTGCCCTTCCAGTGGCCTTTCTAGTTCTTCCCGCCCAGAGGAGGGCAGGGGCTGTGGACCGCTCCTCTGGGCAGAGGCCACCCATTGCCCTGTCTTGCCACTGCACCCCGCCCCCAGGCTTTCCACAGGTGATGGCCCCTCAAGACACTGCTCCCATTGGCCGGTGCCCCCTCACGCCCCTGGGCATAGCTACTGCATCCTTGTCCTCGGCTCCCACTTTCCCCTCCACCCAGCACACTGCTGCCTCGCGAGCTCCGACCACGTGCTGGTTGGCCCAGGCCACTCGTGCCTCCTGGTCCTCGCTAGCCTGTCCCTGGGCGCCTGAGGGAGGTGGGGCGGGAGGAGAGGCCTCTGTGCTCCGGGGTCTCTGGGCAGAAAGCACTTAGCTCCCCCTCACAATTGCCCACAAGTTGGTCGCAGTGGTGGGCACCAGAGGGTTCACTGTTCTGACTTAGTATATTTTCAAATCTTTTTTTTTTTTTTTTAAGATTGATTTATGCACACAAGAACAGGCACAGGGTTGGCGGGGGGTGGTGAGAGGACTCCCCTGAGACAGAGTATGGAGCCCAACAGGTGGATCTACTGAAACTGCTGAGGGGAGCGGTGGGGGGACAGGAGGGGTCTGCTGTGCCCTGGCTGGGTGCTGCAGTGGCTTTGGAGAGCTTCATAGTGTGTGGCTTAACCCCTTGTGCCACCACAGAGGCCTTCAAGTCTCAATACAAACAATTTTTTAAGGGCTGTTGAGCCATAAAAAAAGAATGAGGAAGATGTCCACCATGATCAGCTTTTCGTGATCTCCAGGGAGATAAAGTGGAAAGGCCAAGCTACAGACCTTTCCACTAGTATTTTCCCTTGTGCAAGGAAGAGGAATTAGAGAACAAACAGAGGAAAGAGCATGAATGCAAAGAAATTTAGAAAAAGCTATTAAATTTTAATTAGAAATCTCAATCTGAGCTCATGATTCCAAGAAAAATAAGAACGTCCTAGCTGGGCCGAAAGGAGCAGAGACCTCGCCCTGAGGGAACCAGGGCGCCCTGGATCTTAGCTGTGAGCAGGACTCAGGGCAGTTAGTTCCAGAAAGGAGACGGGTGTCTTAGGAGGTCAGGTCGGGGGCTGCTTCCAAACAATTGCTGCTGGCCAGACGTGGACCGTGTCTCAGTCTGCCGACAGGACAGCTACAGTGGTTGTCCGAAAGGAAAAACTCCTTTGTCTCCTGTGCATTATTACAACACTGGCACGCGATGGGGCGGGGGGCTGGGGGTTTCCACACCAAGCAATCCGGTGCCAACGTACAGTTCGTGCGAACCCCACAGGCTCGAGGTGGCCCCGTCAGCTCCAGCGGCAAGCCCAGGCTGCCCCACTCCTGACTAACTGGTACTCGTGACCCCTCCCCAGCCTGTCACTGGCCAGCATGGCCCACAGAACGCAGCAAAACTGCTGGCTTTCTGGCTGGCTGTGACATGGCACAGGGAGTCGGATGGCTAGTGCAGAGGGCAGTGTGGGGTGAGGGTGTATCCTCTCTGGATGCCCCACACCTACAGGCGTTCAGCATCCTGGAAGCTCTTTGAACCCCCTCCGGGGTGGGATTTTATGGTGGCCTCATCACTAAGCGCAGCTGAGTTAAGTCGGAGACACTGGTGTGGGAAGCAGCCTCCGTCCTCCCCCCTCCCCAGAGGAGGTGGGAGCAGGTGTTGACCTGAAAGTTCCCTAATCACAAGGTTGGCTACCCTGGCAATCAGCGCCCCGTCCTTGGTGGCTTTCAGAAAGTCACCTCATCCTCATAAGCTGGTGCGGTGGTAAAGGGACTTGTTATGAATGACAGAACACTCACCTTTATCACTTCAGGCCCTCCCAGGGACCACCAATCGTCTGTCTCCTGCCTATATCATGACCTCGTAACTGTAAACGATCGGATAACTGAAAGTCCGTACATGATGTGTTTGAAAACAAGGAAAATTATCCCCTGCCATCAGAATTGAGCCTATCCTTCTTTCGTCTGAAGATGATCATTGAAAGAATTACCTTCGGTGTGCTTGGCAGATGAGATTAGCAATTGCTATAGAAAACAGGATGGTAGTCCTCAAAGAATTAAAAATGGGGATTCCATGTTGCCCTTCAACCCCATTTTGGAGGACATAGAAGAATTGAAGGGGTATTTGCACACCTGTGTCTATAACAGCGTTTTCTGTAATAACCCATAGGTAGAAGCAACCCCCTTATCCATCAGCAGTTGAGTGACTCTACAAAATAGAGTTCATCCCTTCCGTGGAATATTATACAGCCCCCAAAAGGAAGGAAATCTTACCACATGCTACAGCATGAATGAACAAGGAGGGCATCATGCTAAGTGGAATCGGCCACAAAGAGATAAGACCTCCCCGGTGGCCCAAGGGGTTGTCACAGCACTAGGAGGCTGTCCGCAGCCACTGCAGCATGAGTGATCCCTGGCTAGGAGGTGACATATGGCACAGCAGACCCCTCCTGTCTCCTCACTACTACCCTCAGCAGTGTGTTTCAGCACATCTGCCTGTTCTGCTCCCCACTGCTTCTTGTGAACCCTCACTTCCCACACCTCTGGCCTGTACCCCAGTTCTTGTATGCGTAAATAAATCTTAAAAAAGAAAAAGAAGGTGTTTGGCAGTGAAGAGAAATGTCTCCCGGCCCTTAATCAACAGCAGGTATCTGACATCATATGCCGCCCAATAAAACAGTCCCACCTCCAACCATCCTCACCAGAAACGAGTTAGCCTGAATGCAATCAGACATTCAGGGCAGTTTATAGGAGACTGAAAAAACACATCCAGTGACATCAGGAGGAAGCAACTGGACAGCCAGCCCTGGACACCCCGCAGGGCAACTGCACAGCCTCTTTAAAAGGTTAATGGGGGCCCTCTCTGGTGGCGCACCGGGTTAAAGTACAGCACTAAGAAGCTAAAGCCATGGGTTCGATCCCCGCCCGCCCTGCAGGTGACCTCTCCTGACCCGCCCGCTGCCCCCCTCAGCAGTGGACTTCGTCGATCTGCCTGTTCTGCCCCCCACTCTGTCTCTGGTGAAGCCTCTCACCACCCCTGCACCTCTGGCCTGTACCCCAATTCTGTATACATACATAAATAAATAAATCTTTTTAAAAATAAGTTTATTTCCACCTCATTTTGTGACTTTTTCCATCTCAGTTGTTATCCCCATGGGCTTCCCATCACCAAATCACCTCCATAGGCCAGTGCATTTCCCTCCCCCCACTGTTTTTGATCCCATTCCCCACTCCACCCCCACAAAATGTCTCTGGTATATAGCTGTTCATTATTATTTAAATAAATAAATCTTTTAGAAAAAAGAAAAAAAGGTTAATGTGGGAGGAGGAGGGAGTGGGATCAAAATAGGGGAGCGAAGCACACAGAGAGAGGATGATGCCGGTTCTTGGGGAGACCGATGGTGGGAATTTTGTGGAGGTTACACTGAGGGAGAAGTCAGATGTCCAAGGTGCGCGCCCACGTCATATGGATATATATGGGTATGAGATGCGTGTTTATATACATATACGTACATTTAATGGGAAGTAAAAGGTTAACGCGGCAGGGGAATGGGGAGACTGCTGTAGAGTAAGACAAAGAACTCCAAAGCCGAGGACATGCGCTGGGCTCCAGCTCCACAGGAAGAGCGAAGACTGGCACCTTGGGGCCCAGGAGGCACGAACATGGCTGAATCGGAGCCCCTAGGGCTCCCTGCTCATCTTCCGAGGTGCCTCGGTGCCTTGTGGGTGCGGGCGGGGGGGGGGTCCTGGAGAGACGCAGGGGGCTGTTGATGAAGTGCCGTGATGTCTTCAGCTTGATTAAAATAAAAAGACATATAAATCCACAGCAAACCTGCATAGAGCAGAAGTGGCGAACGTTAACTCGGGTCTGACGGTAAGAATACAGGGCATCTGTGGCAACTGGAGTTTTTTAAAGTTTTGTTTACTTATTTATTTATTTAAGAGCACAAAAACTGGGCTGCAGCCCAGAGATGCAGGGGCGGCGAGAGGCTTCACCAGAGACAGAGTGGGGGGGCAGAACAGGCCGACTGAGGAAGTCCACTGCTGAGGGGAGCAGCGGGCGGGTCAGGGGAGGTCTGCGCGCCCTGGGGTCACCTCCAGGCGGGGATCAAACCCATGCTGCAGTGGCTTTAGCTTCTCAGAACTGTACTTTAACCCGCTGCGCCACCAGGGAGGGCCCATGGTTCGGCCACACTTTTATTGAGCACCTGCTGTGTGCCAGACCGGCTGTGTGCTCAGGGCTCACAGTCCAGGGGGAGAGACCCTGAGTCCCGTCACCCAAAGCGGTGGGCGCCTGGGGAAGGCGCAGGAGTTCGCATCAGCAGGGAGCTGTCTGGGCGGAAGGACAAAGCGGCCTAGGAAGAGTGACCGGGCTGCAGGCCTGCGCTGTCTGCCGCTGCTGGCCGGCGGGCGGCAGAACACACCTCGCGGGTGTCTTGGAGTGACTCCAGAGGCTTGAACTTGAACACACATTTACCAGCCCAACTTGAGAGCCGGGCGGCAGGGCCCAGGGGGCCAGGTTTGTGAACCAGCTTGTCAAGGGCAACCCTAACAATTGGAGGGCCCACTCCATTCCACTCGGTGCTGGTCTCTTGATGGGTTTATGATATTTAAGGATATTAAGGACTTTAAGGGTATTTACGCAGCACGCTGCGGACACTCCGGGGCTGGGCCCGGCGCTGGCACGGGCTGCGGGGCGGTGGAGGTGGTGTGCGCGGGTCAGATCTCGATGGCCCTGGGCAGGGGCGGTGGCTCCCGGCCCAGGGTCTGGAGGCGGGAGGGCGGAGGATCAGGGGGGGCCCAGGGGCCACCCCATCCTGGGAGGCGGGACACCGAGCTGGGAGGGGTGGGGAGGCGCCTCCGAGGCTGGGCTGGCGAGGGGGAGTGGCTCGTTCCCCAGGCGCCCACGGTCGGGGCGCGGGGCTGGGCGCCGCGGGAGCCGCAGCCTTTTCCGGGGGGCGTGCCCGACGGCCGCAGCGCCCCAGCTCCTGCCCCGACAGGTGCGCGCCGCGCGCAGGAATGCCGCGGGCCTGACTCACCAGCGCCTCCTTCCTACCTGCCGCCCGCCCATAAAGCGGTCCCCTCCCGCCGCCGCCGCCAGCCTCAGCCCGCCCTCCGGACAGTCCCGGCGGGGCGCGCGCCGCCTGCGGAGGAGCAGCGGAGCGGAGCCAGCGCGGGAAGGCGCCAGCGCCAGCCGAGGTAGGTTCAGCCTTCGAGCGGCGGGAGCGGAAGCGCAGTCGGGGAGCCGGGGCGCACTTCGCCAGCCCCCTCCAGGGCGCGGGGCGCCGGGTGTGGGACGTCGGAGGCCAGCAGGAGAGAGGGGTGCCTTCCACTTGGGCAGCCCCGCAGGGGAGCTGGTTGGAGGGTCGGGTGGCTTTTGTCTCCTGGCTCTTTCCTTTCCTGAAGCCTGGCAGGCCCTGGCCCCACTACCTTTGCTGCCCAGGGCAGGTGCCCAGCCTGCCAGGGTCTGCCCAGGGGCCAGGGGGAGCTGAGAGGCAGGGGGAGCCAGAGGAGTCTCCGGTGGGCCCTCGGCTGGGCGAAGCGCTGGGGGCGGTGGGTGTGCTGGTGGGCAGAGCCCAAGCCTCCGCCTCCGAGCTGCGGGTGGGCTCTTCTGCGGCTGGCACATAGGACGCAGGGGTGCGGCCACCTGGATGGGCAGGGCCTGCTGTGCAGGGGCCACCCACCGGCCACAGGGACCCGGGGGCCCCTGACCCCTCCTCTCGGCTAGCGCTCGCCTGCCCTCCTCGCAGAGGCGACTCAGGAACCATTCCTCCAGGAAGCCCTCCTGGCCGCGCCCAGCAGCCCTGGGCCGGCCGGCGCTGGACGCTCCTGGGTGGCCTGGCTGTGGCTCCCAGGTGGGCACCAGCACCGGTCACGCCCTGTGTCCGAGGACCCCGCACAGTGGCAGGCTGATTGCTGCTCCCGACAGAGCTGGGAGGAAGCTCCATGCCGGGCTGAACAAGAGGAGAGCGGAGGACGGGGGGGCCTGCTCTCCCTGACCTTGAGATCTGTGGGTGCCAGAGCAGCCGGAGGGCGGGGTGGGGGGGGGGGGGCGGAGCGCCCATTAAGCAGGACTGTGGGGCGGGGAGGGCACTGGATCCACACACCTTTGGGCCCAGCCGGGTCCATGTGTGGAGCCTGGGTGTGCCCAGGGTGCCCTGCACGGGTGTGGCAGTCGGCCAGCTGCTGGGCTGGCACACGGAAGACCCAGGAGCCGGGGCCCGGGCCCCCCCATAAGCCCACAGCCGCCTATGTGTGATCTCGTGTTTTTAAGGACGTTTAAAACTGTACACGCAAAACTCAAGCAAAACACTTGAGCGCAGAACTCACCCCTGAGTTTACAGTGGAGGTTATGGGGGCGAGGGGGTGCTATGGGCTGCAGGGGCTGACCCGCTGCCCGCTGCAGGATGGGGGGGCCTTTGTGTCCCACCGCCTCGCCTGGGAAAGAGGGGCGGGAGCCTCCCGGTGAGGAGCAGCCCGCAGAAGTGCGCAGCGCATGGTGCGTGGGCGGGCGGCTAAGGCGCCCGGAGCCCAAGGCCTCGCGGTGGTGGGTGTGTGCCTGTGCCCAGGCC